AGAGGAGGTTTTCTATCTCAGTATCAGAGGCCTATGCAGCCTGTTGGTGGAAACCAAGGGTTCTGGTCTTGCCCCTCTGGAGTTCAGGTTTAATTGGCAATCACTTTTCCAATCTTCGCTGTATCGGAACCAGGCCACTCCAGTTCTAGAGGCTGTGCAGACTTGGCTTGCCTTTAGGCATGTGGCACATCCAGTTTGAAGCTTCCTCTACCCACTCTACTCCTAATGGATGAGTTTACTGAAGTACAAAGAATCTTCTTGCATCTTGGGGGATGAAAGCTTTGAAGACACAGGGCACATGACAAAAGAGCCCAAAGAATGGCCCTTCTGGGCTGAGGCTGCACTCTGGCTGGTGCTACACTGGCCTCTGGGTGTAGTCAGCTGGCAGGGGGTAGTTTCCAGAACTCTCCTTCCCAGATGGGATCATGCCCAAGGTTTTGGGGGTGGATGCGAGGGAAGGAATGCATCAAGGAAAAACTTTTTCCTGTCTAGTTGAATAGCAGTTGTTTTTGCACAACTGGATCAGCATGCACAAGTTGTTCTAGTGGGAGGAAGGGCATGGAATTTAAACACCTTTCCCCTCCCCAGAGGTACTCTGAGCTGGAAAAATGTTAATGTAGATGAGCAGCACAGGTGTCAACATAATGTGTTCCTCTGATGCTAGGAAGTGTCTGGTTCAATGGGCCAATGGAGAGTCATTTGCATTGTGCCTGTGACTACTGGTGCCGCAGTGCTGAGGGGATAGGGGAAATTCCTGACCTCTGTCTAGCAGCATTTCCCTTGCTGACTAACTTGGGGCTTGAAAGGGAGGAGCAATTGCTGAAGTGCAAACAATGAGGTGGTATAAGAAGTCCATTCTGCTGCCATTCTCCTAAGAACATAGCAAGTGCCAATGCTGGGTTAGACCAGTGCGTGGCCTACCCCACTATTCTATCCCTAACAGTGGGAGAGCCTATGAAAAGGGTGTGTGTGTGTAGGACAGATCACTGGAGAGAGATATATCAGACCCTCCCCCCTGACATGCACCATTGTCTGGTTTAGAGATGCTTTGTGCTATGAGGAACCATCTCTGGGTCTCCCACTGTCCTGAGAAGCCAGAGGGCTTTCTTCACAGGGATCTGCTGCAAAGTCCTTTTAAGCCTTGCTGGCCACTTGAAAAAGGGCCTCTGGCATGAGAGATGCTGGGCTTCTCTGCTGCAGTGTTGCCCAGATCCTTGCTGGGAGTAGGCTGTATTCTTCCTGTGGAAGGGAAAGTGGATAGACTGGTGGGCCAGAGCAACCATGGAGATGTCCCCTCTTGTCCCAAGACCTGCTCTACCAGGGCAGATAACTATCATCTGGGTGTATTTTTGGTTTTGCGTTTTTTGTTTTCTTATTCTGGTGGTGCAATGGTGGGTGCTAGAGATGGGCACCCCAGTTCATGGACAGTGAGACCTTGCTGTTGGGGAAGCATTGAGGGTACCTCCATTGCATCAGGTGGTGAGCTGTAGTCCCCAGGGTCCAGGATATCCTTAACTGTGCCTTGCATGTCCTTTATTTCTAGGACCCAAGTAAGAATGACTAGTCCAAGATTTGCTTGTCATGTCTTCAAGGTATGAAGACTTCCACTGCCTTGATCCTGGTTGTTGCAGTGGCCACATACTCCTGGCCTGCTTAAACTTTTTGGAACAAAGAATGTCTCTCTCCCAATCTTGTAGGCTGTATTTTTTTTTTTTTTTATGTGGCCCCAGTAGGTACATGGCAACTGGTATGCTGGTGTCTTTATGGGTGTGATGTGGTGGTTATGGCTAGCCAAGGACCATCCTTCTCAGATTTGGGACTAGAGTCCTTTAGAACTCCCCTTGGCCCTACCAGTGAGATGCACAACCTTATTCAGCAGTGCAAAAAAGCACCCAAAGGTAGTGGAGAGAAGCTTACATCTCCTTGCTACGCCTGTGGAAACTTCCCAGGAAACAGCTGAAGTAGCTTACTGTGTGTGGATCTAAAGGCAGACAGGTGAATTAATTACTCATGGATTTGGATCTGAAGGACACATTCTGGATGTCTGAATGGGTATGTTAAGAACAAGACTAAGATGTGGTAGGTCTCCAAGATTAGTTGTCGTGGTCTCCAAGGCATGAATTCCAAGTCGTGCTGTCACATGGTCAGGCTGGTATTGCCAATATTTATCCTGCCCAGGGGCAAAAGTGGGGGCTTTGAGTTGTTAGACAGCAGTAGTTACTTGCCAGCAATATGCTATGTCAGCACTTCTGGATCCTTGGATGAACAAAGACTTAACTTCCTCCCTAAAGCTAAATGCTGATCCTAAGAATTAAATAAGGAAAGCTCCATTAGCTAAAAGGACTTTTAAGAAAGAGATCAGAGTCTAACTACCCTTTTTCAAGCATGAGCTCAGCTGTGCAAAAAGCCTTGCTGGAACTGGGAATCTGGCATGCTGAGTAGCACTGCTGCACTACATCTGCCTTGAGCAGCAGAAACTCCCAGTAGGATGATAGCATCATCCTAGAGTCCCTGCTGACCCTGGCACTAACGCACAACCCTCCATGTAACCTGTATGTGGTGGAAGATGTCCTGATGCCTGGATCCTCTGGTCCACCTGACATTGGATCACAGCTGTGGAATGGCTTTCTCTTCCAGATGCGCTGGTATCCTCCCTCTGAAGCTACCCAGCAAGGATGGAAGTCTCGTCAGTTTTGTTAGCTCTTTGGTAAGTATCTTGCTTGAGTGGGATGGATAGGTTCTGGTTCCTCCTATTCTTGGCTGCATGCAAAGGGTGTTCTGTGCCCAAAGCTCAGCTTTTGAGTGGGGCTTTCACATATATCACACTAGAGCTGATAGGGCAAGATTTGGATCTAAGGTTGGCCTCTCCTACCCAACCTGGCTACCTTCAAAAGCTCCTTCTGCATCTCGCTAGAAGATGCGAGGCCTGGAGTTATGGAGCTCCTGTTGCTGTTGGCAGTCTGGCTCTGCTGCTTGAGTGAGTTTTGTCTAAATGCAAAGAAGCTACTAGTGACCACCTTGGGTCAGTAAATGACTGTTTTGGGCTGTCACAGTAAGCGTTGCCTTTTCAGTTCAACTGAAGGTGGCTTGGAGCTTTGTGAGGATAACTGGTAAGTGCACAGAGGTTGAATGTCCTGTTGGCAAACTCCTCCTTTGCCAGGAGGGGTGCCTCTGAGCCGCATAGCTTATTGCCTGGCTGTTGCACTGGGGTTGGCAGAGACTGATATCACTCTTTCATCAAGGTGCTTGTATTGAGTATTGGCAGGATGCCTTGGAGTCCCTTACTGATTGGACCTAAAGGCCACCCCAAAATAAGGCTCCACTGTGTTGGGCACGTAATAAATCTGGTCACAGGCTGGATAAATCTGCCTCCTTCACACAGGGAAGGGGTGGCATGAACTGGGCGGGGGCAGCCAAATGGCATGTTAGTACTATGACGTGGGAGACGGGAGTTGAAGGAATCCTCAAAATAGAAAAACGAGGGGCAGGGCAGTGGGTAAGCAGACAAGACGGGCCTGAACTGAGGCTGAGATGAGGAGAGGGCTGTCGGGGAATTCTGAAGGCAAGGGTCCTGGTTTGGCCTTGGAGAGAGACTAGGCCTGAAGCAGCCATGCAACTGGGGATGGGAGGACTTCCCAGTGGTGCCACAGTGGAAGTTTCCCCTGCATAGCTTGGAGGGCTGGGAGAAAAGATGAAGTCTTTCTGGGTCCCAGATCACCCCTTTGCTCCAGTGCAGTCTGCTGTCACCCCCACCAGCTGGCAGCGGCTCTTCCTGCTGCTCAGAGCAGGTCTATGAACTCCATTGCTCCAGGCTGTCCTTCAGGAAGGAGGTGGCAGTTTGCTGCCAGTATCTTCCACGTGCTGCTTGGGGAGGTGACCCACTACATTCTCTGGCTTGAACAATGGCATGTGGAGTTAATTACAAGACATGCTTAGTAACACTCTCCTCTCTTCCTTTTTCTTTTTAAGAGTCTCTTCTTGGCTTGCATTCTTCCCTTTTTGTCTCTCCATGGAGCAATGTGCCAGGGATGAAGCAGTGGATCAATCAAAATCCCTTTGGTTTATTTTGTAGGTATCTGACAAGGTGCCAAGTCTGCAGTAACCTCACACTTCTCCTTTTACGGAGCTGTGGGATTTCCCTCCCCTTCCCCTCAAAGACTGTGAAAATATATATATATATCTGAACCCAACTCAGTGGACTGCATTCTGTGTCTGCTTGACCCCCTCCCCTCACCTGCCTCCCTTCCTGAGGCTCCATGACTGAGTTTCTCCTTTCTCCTACACTGAAGCCTAGTTGGAGAAGCTCAATCCTGGTGGTGGACAGGTTTGTACCCAACGAGACACTGGTGCCATTGGAGGCCTTGCTGTTTCCAGAGCAATACCCAGGCCTGCCTTGTCCTAAACGTTTGTTTATGCAGCTCTGCCGAAGGAAATGAAAGACGATCGGTTTTGCATGTTTTTCTGGCATGAATTAAAACACTTAACTTGTGTATGTGAGAGTGTGTAAGTTTGTTTGTTCTAGTGTTTGTGTAACCATAGCAACAGGTCTTGGCCTAACTATTGATCCATCAAGGTTTTTCATCTTGCTTCTGTGAAGACTTGGCTTTTGAAAAAATTTGCTAACTCTCCTTGTCTCACCCATTCTCTGTTCACTTCCCCTCCCCTCTTCCAGTACAACCAGAAGAATTTGAAAAGTGTTTTTTTTAAAGTGTGATGCACTGGGTTTTTTCTTGTCCATTCTCTCCAGTTTTTTTAAAGTCAGGGCTTTTTTTCCTCAGACATATATAGAATGGCTGTAAAATATATATATATCTAACCTCGTCCTAACTTCCCCTCCCCCCACATCCTTCTGATTGGAGAGAATCCAGTCTTGCCAAATCAGCCATCCTTATGGGAATACCGAACAAAAAAAAAAGTACGAGTATTTTTGTACCATGTGTAATAAGGAAATATTTATGCATCAAAGAGTTTCTTGTGTGTTTTTGTGTGCAATTAATTATTATTATTATTATTATTATTATTATTATTAAAGAGATCTTGTAATCCTGTAAGATAAGTTAATGTTTAGTTAAAAGCTTGAAAGGAAAGGATTGTTTTTGTAACAATGATTGTCAGGCATAGTAAACAAATTGTGCAATTCTTGGTTTTTTGTTTTAGCATCTTATTGCTTGGTATTGAAGTGCTTTAAGTATTATTATTATTATAATAATTATTATACAACCATGGCTCTTGCTTGTATTAAAAGACTTGAGAATAAGTTGCTATAATTGCTGATCCTATGAGAATGTGAAACTGGATAATATATAAAATGCAAAAAAATCCCCCCCAAAATCCAGAGGCTGCTGTGACTTTCTTGTAGTCTGGTGTCTTTTTTTTTTTCTTGTTCTGTTGTCAGGGATCTCTATGCCTGTTACCAAAGTTTGTAGCAATGGTGCTGCCTCATTTTTAAAGTGAAAGCACTCTTTTCTATCTGTGCGTCTCCTTGGGATGAAGCAGAAGTTGGGCACAGTGGTAGAGCTGTGCAAACTGCTTGGACTTGTGTGTGCTGGAGTGACTGCAAAGCAGTGGTGACTGACTTGCAGCTCTTGAGGCTAGCACTAAATGGCTGCTTTTTGCCTCAGCCAAGATGTACTCTGTGCAAAGCTGTCTTTTGTTTGCAAGTTGAAGGAAGCAATGCCTGAGTGTGCTGCCCAGCTGTGTGTGTTTGTCAGGGTGGGAGAGATGTGGAGGAAAAGCATGAGGACCAACAGCAGCTCAGTTGGTTCTTATCTGCCCAATCTCTTTCAGCTAACTTTCGTGCCAGTCTGTCTCTCAGCAGATGACGGCAAAGCCTGTGCCTGGGCACCAGGAATGTCTGCTGCTCTGGAAAGCTGAGTGGAGACGGGAGAGATCTCCATAGAAGGAAAATGTCCTCCACTACTGAACTCTCTCTCCCAAGATGGCAGCAGTGCTCTTCCCAGCCTGCAGCTGGGAGCAGACTGGCTTTGTGGGCAGCACCATGTCCTCTGCCCTACAAGTACAGAGTGCTCCAGAAGCAAAGGCAGTGGGAGAGCAGCCAGGACCAGTCTTCCATGTTCAGTCCCATAGGCTCAGCCCCTAGTAACCTTTCCCTTCCATCTGACTTGTCCCTGTTGCCCTTTCCAGGGCTTGTACTAACAGCAGCTTGGGACAGTCTCTTGTTAGACTAAGCCAGGATCTGGCTAAGAGCTTAAATGCTGTAGCAGCCCCTCTGCAGAAGGGACATCCTGCCCCACAGTGCTCAGAGCTGGGCACCCCTCCTCTGCCTGGGCATCTAGCCTGCCCTGGCTCCCTGACCAGGTAAGGAGATGGGCCACAACCAGTGGGGAAGGTGAAAGATATAATGACTTGTCTTCCTAAAGGTGTCCATTCTCTCCTTCCCAACCCCCTTACTCCCTAACATATCCTCTGATGTAAGGAGGGGGTAGGGACACTACTGAGGTTGCTTTTCATTTGCTATGGCCTGTGTTTTGTTTTTCCCCTTGTCCTGTGTGCTTTTTGGTTTTGTGAGATGGGGAAAAGGTAGACTTGGTCTATGGCATCCCTTGCTGGCTAAGTTGGCTTCAGTACTGTCTCCCCCTCATGCCTGTGTGGGAGCAGGGGCTGCTGTAACAGACTCTGTCCATTATCCAGTGGAGCTTTGCTCGGATCTCCAGAATGAGGTCTGTTGCTATGAATAAGTGATGCCAACATAACCAGGCATGTTGAAACAACCACTCAGCTGGATGCTGTTTTTGCAAAGGGAGCAGACCCTACTGCTAGACAACTGCCTGGTGTGTACTTGCTGCAGTGTGACAAGGCAGTGCCCTCAGTCAGGGTTGCATTGATATGTGGTGTTTCTAGGGAATGTAAGCTGGAGTGGCAATGGGGTAGCTGGGAGCAGAGGTAGGCTATGTTGTTGCTAGCTTGATTTTGTAAGTGCTGTCATATTTCCCTTTACAGTAGCATGTGTCCCATCAGCATGTGTGAATGCATACAAAAGCCACTGCTCACTTGCTGCTTGGCTACACTGCACCTAGCAGTGGTTGGCCTTCCCTGCCCTTGGCTTTTGCTTGCTATTCTCCACCTGGTTGTGACTAACCCTAGTAGAGTGTGAACAGCCAGGAGCCGGAAGCTCTTGTGACCCCTCATGAGGCAAGAGGGGTGCCTGATGGTGGGATGGGAAGTTTGGCGGGGGAGTTAACCAGGCCTCACATTGGACAAGTCATGGTGTGGCTTCTCAGCTGCCCCTTAAGTGGCTGGTGGGGGCTCTGCTCTGCTGTACTGCCCTGGTGGAGGTGGTCCTCCCCCTTGCTATGCTATGGCATCCCTTCCAGGATCAGCTCTGCCTGGCAATGTCTCTGTGCCCAGCTGCAGAGATTCCCACTCCTTGGGCTTGTTTGTTCCTTCTCGGCAGAGCAGGGCTGCTTAATAAATTAAAAAAAAAAACAAAAAAAACCCAAAATAGAGGGTTTAAAAAGTCAGTGCTAAAAATAGGCCTTCTGGCCCCTGTGCCTGGGAATTGACTTGCACTGACGTCATCCCTCCAAGCAGGGCTGCGGGCAGCCTGAGCCAACATGCCCATGTGCAGGGACCCCTGCTTCCCTCTCGGAGGCCGAGAGCAGCTTCCCCACCAACCCTGCTCTGAGTGCAGCGGAGAAAGCAGTAATCCCTGGCCCACAGCAGCCAGGCTCATGCCAAAAGCCCGAGTCCTTCTGCCTAGCTGTACCCTCCATAGTGTGGTGGAGGGAGGGACGCAAGCAGTAGGAATCTGTGGCAGGGCCCTTGGCTTTATAGGATAGGGGTGAGGAGAACCCCCTTCCCTATCCTGTCTCTGCTGGTTACCCAAACCCCAGCACCAGGCTGTGCCCTGCCAGGGTTTGGGCATCTCCCTGGCTTTCCAGGGCTTTAATTGTGGTGGCCCTAGCCTGGGTGCTGGAGAGGTGGTACTTAGCCAATTCCACATTAAAACTCCTTCCTTACCTTGGCTCTGTTCCTCCGTTCCTATCCTTGCTACCTCCCCACATGTGCTCAGACCCTTCCCAATACAAATACCTGCTCCCTAAGCCCTGCTTTGATCTAGGCCATGCATTTCTCCTTCACCTCCTCTCCCTTTCTTCCTGCCTGCCAGCTCCAGCCACATCTCTTAGCTTTATTCACTGAAGCATAAGCTCCCCCTGGGGAGAGGCTGGGGCCCAGCACTGGGACAACATGGGGTTTTAAATTATAGAGGAGATTTTTAAAAAACCTTTATCACATGCATTAACATGGACAGGGCAATGAATAATTTATGCCTGGCTCTATTAAGCTTTTACACTGGGACACACACACACAGCAGAACCTGTGCCGGAGCAAAAGTAGGTCACAGCAGCTCCAAAAGCCTTCCCTCATGGTGGCTGCAGTGTGTGCATATATGACCCTGGTCCCTGTGCCTCCCTCTGGATGGGCACATGTTGGTCCTCTCCCTTTGGGCACAGCAATGGCAGTGCTACCTCTCCTGCTCCTGGCCTGTCTCCTGGGAAGGGTGTCCCAGCCCTGCCCAGCTGGGTTGGTGTTTCTACCCTTCCTCTTTGTTACTTGGCAGAGGAGCAGACTCCACCCCATAGGACATGTCAGCTCCCACAGGAGTCTGGGGCCTCCCAGAGCTGCTGCCCTCCCCTCTTCCCTTCCACCTGGGTAGGGGAGTTGGCTGAGGGCTGTGATGGTCCCTGAAACTGGGCTGTTTGTGCTAGGTGTCCAATTCAAAGGCCCATCATCTCCCTACTCCGGGGGCTTCCTCAACTGGTTGAGCTCAGGCCATCTGTGGGATAGCTGTACCACAGTAGTACAGACACCTCAAGTAGGCCCTCGTCCTCCTCTATACCTCTGATGGCCTTCACTCCCTCACCCCTCTACCCCCATCTCCTATCTTGGGCACAGCTGATAGGGGGCTATATCTATGGGGGGCTAGCTGGGGGACAATGGGGAAGCCCAAGGCCCCTGTAGTCCTAGCAACTCACTGGCTGCAGAGGACTCTCCTACCCAAGCAGGTAGCTCAGTATGCAACCTGCTCCCCTGCCAAGACTGCCTTTGAACATCTGCAGTTTTAAAAATGCACTAAGCTGGGGGGCTTGGCCTTTGCCTTTCTAAGTCTCTGGCTCACATTTGGGCCATAGTCCAAATTCCCACACTGGCCCCATTCTGCTTTCCTAGATCTGACTTGTTGGCTACTTGAGTGCAGTGACTTGCCTCTGCCTCGTGTTCTGGTGACTGGCTCGATAGAGATCCCTTGGGAGATGCAGGGACCCAGAGTGCTTGATTTGTCCTTCCCAGGTACAGAATAGAGTCCAAGGCCCCAGGTAGCCACCAGGCCCTTCCAGTAGGGCCCTGCAGTAGCACAGCCAGGCTGAGTGTAATGGGACAAGCGCCTTTTGTGCTGGTTGGGCACAGACTGGCCTCAGCTGCAAATGAGGAATGTGGTTCCTTCACTGTGGGCCTCTGTGGCCAGTGATCTTCTGTGAAAAGCAGCAGGGGCTACCACTGCCTCCTGGGAGCTGTAGGATACAGCCCTGTGCTCTCTGCATGGAAGAGCTGGCTACCAGGGGAACCTCCAAGAGGAGCAATGCCAGCTCCAGAGTAAAAATCCCAGCCACACCCCTGAGGCCTTTCACTTCTAGCATAGCTGGCACACCAGGGCCTGCCTCCTCCTCAGTGTTGTCCTCTGTCCTCAGGCCTGATTTAGGTCACAGCTCCAAAATGGGGTGCATAAACCCATGGAAATGTAAATAGTAATGCAACAAATTACCAAGTGAATGATGCACACAAGGCTGAGCTGACTTAGTGAAGGTGCCTTCAGGGGAGAGGTGCTGTGCCTGGATACTTGCTCACCATCCCCACCTCAGATTGCCTGGCCTTTGTCTGGAACCTCATAGGGACAGT